ATTGAGTTGTAGGTTTTCCCCCCGCCCGAACACTTGTCACATTTCGTGATTCTTTGATGGTCTTATTATTGTTTATTGAAAAATATTTTGTTGAAAATATATTGTGGCAACTTGAGATTGTGACTTTTCTACAAAAGGTTACTTTCATTGCTGTTTGCATGCTGAGAAAGTTGCTTGGACTTAATCCATGATATTCTATCTCCTGCGGTATATGGCTGCTCATGACTCTCCTGTTTTCTTTCTTAGTTATTTTATTTTTCAGCCTAGCTTCCTGGGAATCACCCTGCATCTACATAGCTTTATGGTTGCCAAGATTACTTAGGGGTGTGTCCCACCAACTTAAGTCTTCGCTTCTGGCTAATGGTTTTGTTGTAGGTCTTGGGTAGCAATTAGCATATAGATTGTACGTGCTAAAGTGTAAGTCTTCTCAGCTTATACTTTTTCTGAGTCTTTTCATGGATCCTCCACACGTCCCAGTCACTTCAAGCTCAACCATCAGTGTGTGGCTTGCTTGGGCTTCTTTGAGTCTCTCTAAGCATGCACACAGCTTCAGCCAAACACATGCTTGCTGCAGGAATGACCACAATCATAGACCAGCAGAGCCCCTAGCCTTCCTGTTTGCACAGCACACAGCTTGTCTGCTCCCCTTCACATCACTTCTCACCCCAGATTAACTCAGGTTTTACACTGTGTACCTCTCCTGCCAGTTCTCATGGCCTGTCCTATCTTAGAAGAACCTTTTTGCCTATGATGTTGGGTGTTGGGAGGGGGAAGAATGGGAGCCACTGTAGGCAAGTACACTACTATTGTTCTGTGAATTCTGCAGCTTTTTAAGCATAAATAATTCTCAGTTTTTGTATGTATTTGGGCATTTCCAACCACTAAAATGGTTACTTTTGTTGATTTAGTCCAGTTTTATAGTTGGTGTCTTTTAGAAGATTTGTTGACCATAGCCAGAGAGCCTTGCTAACATTCACTTTTAAATTATGCAAAGTATACATATTACTATGTTTTATTTAAATGTTTGGCTTTATTGAGGACTCCCAAATAATCCAAAGACATGTCAGCTCCTTGTGGCTCAATGCCATTAGCTTGACAGGTGGAAAATAAGGCCAGAAATATGAAGATGTGGTATGATCATCTTCCTCAGACTCATTTCCAAGTGAGAATATATTTAATCTCCCCCAGTGTCTCTACAGCAGTATAATAAGCTGGAACTTGAAGCCTCCCAACAGTGAGGACTTTATCTATATATGTTACCACAGACTTCATCTGAACTGTGTGTCATTTATGAGGTTAAGATATGGGATGTAATCTTTTCTTAAGACTCTCTGCTGTTTATTCTCCTGTACCAGATAGGATCTTGGCTTTAATGCAGGCAAGGTGTATCTCCTGACGAGAGGAAAGCAACTGTGAAGCAGGCTGCTGCTTTTGTGTGTGAGCAGACTCTATCCCTCACCTGCTACTTTGGTTGTCCCATGGCTACCCTCTTTATGTTCTTTGACTGTGAGAGTAACACATGCTTTTTGTTAAAAATGTGCATAGAACAATAATCAGAGAACCTGTCCTTCAAACTCTGTGACCACATCACTGTTAACAGTTTGTCTCCTCCTCATTTTGTTTCTATATGTTCACGTAATTGTGGCCATATGGCCAATACTTAAAAATTATAATGTAAAGGTAATAAAGTCAGTTTGCTGTAGAAATTCTAGAATATCCAGAAATGATTGAAATCATCTGCCTATTTTCTTCTTTTCTTTCTGATTTGCACACATGTATTGGGTTTTTATTTTAACAAATATGGTCCTATGGAATATACAGTTTTTTTTTTGTTATGTATTTGCTTTTGCTTGATAGCAAAGTATTTACCAAGTTGTTGTATACTACATAAATGTAATTTTAAGTGGATGGAAAATATTAGATGGAAATATAATAAATATTCAACTTTTCTTCCACTCTCAGACATTTAGATTTTTTCTGATTTTAGAGGGAAAAAAATGTACCTAATGGAAAACAAGTATTATTTCCTCAGACATATTTCCTGAAGAGATAATCAGAGAATTTAATGACAGGGTCAAATGTACATTTGTGCATTTCAGATCAGCTCCATCTGTGCTGTGCTGAGAATGGACTAAATACAGAAGTGACACCAGGAGGGGTGTGGGACGCTAAGGCTTAACCAGGAGTTTCTTAAGGTGGAGAAAAGGACAAGGAGGGTCTGAAGTTTCTGGCCTTGGCACCAAAATCCCAAGAACTCAGTGATATGGTCAGTTAGAATATCCTGTGTCAGGAGGGGAGTCACATGTACACTAGGCCCACAGATGATGCCTAAACTGGATGTGAGTGTATAATTTATCTTGAGATAGACCTCTCTCCCACACATACTGGGCTAAACCAGTAGCATGGGGCCCATGCTCATATAAGCTAAGGCTCACCCAGAAGTTGGCTCTCAGTATAGAACAAGAGAAGTGAAGTCTATGATGAGAATGTGCTGTGAAGTCCTGTGAAAACCTAGGGTGGTGATCTCAGCAATAGGGTTTTGTTTCCCCAAGGACTGGACAGATTGGGTACAGGACAGGACATCTTATCGCTGTAGTACTTGGGTGGAGTGATGGTAGTGTCCCATGCCTTTTCTGCTCACATCACAAGTAGCCGTCCTCTGTTCTACCTCTAGCATACTTATCTAATGTGCATGCCTATAACTGAGGCTTGCTCAGCTCACTCTACGGTCACTTCTCTCTGTAGATAGACTGAGATGACTCAGTCTATGATACTCAATGACACAGCTGAACTCAGAGCTTCCATATGTCTGTGTTCTTGTGAGGAAAGAAGGACCTGCTGTTGTGATGTCCATAGTTGACCTGAACTTGTAGCTTCAGGTGTGCTTGGGCACAGGTCTGGTGTCACCCTGCCTACACTGACAAAATGAGACCATCAGAGTGCACTTAGTGTGCAGTGTCTCAGCAGTCCTGGGCATATGATCTTAACTCACATAGCAGCTACTGGAGTGAACTTTGGTATAAAGTATGGGGACCTCTCACCCACAGCCTGAGAGTATGTTTGACAGCAGGAGCATGCATGTGCAGATGGATGTGTTCTTTAAACTTCCTGCGGCCTTTTGGAAGTGAACAAAGCTGGCTGTGGTTTAACTGTCTCTATTTTATCGTTCAATACCTGAGCCACTGCTTACACAGCCCACCCAGCAGAGGCCGGTTTTATTTCAAGCATTTCCCACAAATCAACCACAGTTGACAGAACACGTCAACAAAAAAGCCTGAGAAAATAAAATGCCATCACCACACCAATGTCCTCCTGCCACCAACACAATCTCCTGCACCACCACCCTCCCCCTCGCTGTACCTCCCAATCCAGGCAGCCCAGGTCTATTTGGGAAAGGAAGGTGCTAAGGAGTTGGAAACCACAGGCAACACAGCTTATTGACCCCAACAGTGACATCAGCACACACAGTTTTCCATTATTTTCTAGTTTTCCCTTCTTTGCCTCCATGTTTCCCACATGCAGAAATAGTTCCAGATCTCTAAGTAGAGACCCAAGCATTTGTCCAAAGAAGTCTGAACAAATTTTTGAGAAATCAAGAAGTAGATCAAAATTAAATTTCCTCTTCCTTTATCTGCTATGTCTTTGTTGTTTTCAAAGGGAACATCTACTTGGTTTCCAAAAGCACCTATTTCACAGGAGCTGAAATTGATTGTAAATAAACCAAAAATCCTTCCTATTTTTAGATGAGATATTGTTTGAATTCTAATATATAAAATGTATATCTTTAAATGCATTCATTAACAAAAGTAGAAAAATAAACAATTTTTTTTCACCAACTTCCCACACACTGAACATTTTGTTTTATACCCATGCTTTTAGAAATACACATACCTGTAAATAATTATCCAACTTGTAGTGTGTACACATGTATATTTCTATTAGTTCTAAAGTAGAGTTGCCAAGAGTAGAGTAGATGCTAATGCTGTTGAGGACTGGCATGCACCCAACAAAATTACCTCATCTCATCCACACAACTCCAGAAGATTAGTCACTGTAACTCCATTTTACAGATGAGAAATTATGTCACAGAGAGTTCAGGTAGCTATAGAACCACGATTTAAGCTCAGGCACATGGGGTTTAGAGTCCAAGCACTTAATCCCTCCAACACCCTATCTTCCCTGTGTTAGTGCAGCTCTCATGGGATTCTCGTAATATCAGGAAACACAATGCCCGTGAAACATTGAGCTAGGTCAGAGCACAGCCACCACTCATAGGACATGTTATACTGTCACCACCAGAGCATCTTAACCAAATGAGTCTGAATCTCCTGACCTTTGAAGGAGAAATAACCTGGGCACCTTCACTGGCTGTGGCTTCCCTGGGGCCAATGCCTCAAAGGAGACATCATAAGGACTATCTCAGGGCAAGAATTAGAAATGTAGAATTGACCTTCCTACAACCAATGCTGAGTTGGAAGACTCAGTTGTCACGCTGTCCCTTATATCGGACTCTCAATTAGATTGCACCAAATGAAAGTACACAGAGACCAAAGTAGACTTTTGATTGTTTTTATTTTTCCTATTATGAAAAATACTACAAACTTCAGGTAACAAGTATGGTGGCTTCCAGGTATGTAAAATAAAAGACTTACAGGCAATCATGTGGTTAAAGGGCCCCTGGAGAACATGACAAGAAGATGCATGTTGGCTGTACTCAGAGGCATGGGAACAGGGTGGCTGAGGAACTGGTGGACATTAAGGAGAGAGAGCAGTGTTGAAGCCCCTGTGGATGCCCTCTGGTCCAAATTCTGAGTCATGACGGAATTTGTTCTTGATGCAGATTGAAAGCTTCTGTATGCCCAGTGGTTTGTAAACTGGTAATGCAACAATGACACAGTAGAAAAAGACACAGGTGAACTGAAATACCCAGTCTCCAAAAGAAGTCCCACTAGATCCTCAGCAGACACTTTTAAGGACAATAGCCAATGGGAAGCATTGTGTTAGGAACTCTTCTCATTGGCATAGATTGCTGGTCTCCCAAGTAGAAGGATGACCATGATGGTGGAGTAGACCAGGCTCTTCAGGAAGAGGAGGAGGTACATATAGTAGGCAGATGTGTTCATGAGCTGCAGCTGCTCTAAAAGGAACATTTTATTAATTTCATGTGTTATTTAATATACATTTCTGATGACTTAGATTGAAGTGACACTCTCACACCAGCACAACTGGGTAATAAACAACTCTATCACCATTACCATCACCACCATCACCACCACCAAGACAACTCAGAACCCACTTTTCAGGTCAAGTCAGTCAAACACTTGTGAAATTCACCTGGGATTTCCAAAGTACTAAAAAGTTAAAAAAACACAGCCTTTTTTGTTTATAATGAATGAATCCATAGGGAAAAAGACATTGGCAATAAATAGCTTTTAATATTTCTTTGTCCCCACCATGTCTCTAAATAAGTACAAATTAAATGTCACTAATTTTGAGAACTTTTAATGCAAAGCTTAAACCATATTTAATTTTTCAATAACCTATGAGATTATTATTTTCATTCCCATTTTACAGTAAACTCAGGACCAGGAGAGAAACCATTTGCCTGATTTCATGTAACCAGTAAGTACTAGAATCCAGGTTTCAATCCCAGCAACACCATATTCAAGAGCACTTTCTCAACTGCTCTTTAATTCTCCACCTCCATGTGCAATAAATAACCAAGACATCAAAATGATTAAGCAAAACTATAAAGTTGGATGATGGTGATGATGAAGATCAGAGCCCAGAAGTTCCTTGATATTGAACAAGGAGAGTGGATCAGCAGAGCTAGAACCAAAGCTCTTCATCACTACCGTTGTTCCTATGTGGGGAGAAAGAGCCAGGAGCTAGTACTTAACGGTGTAGCAGCTAAGTGAGATACCTATGCTAGACATTTCACATATGTCACATTATATCTTCTATGACTGAGTTAGGTGTTATTTGTGTCATTTTTGGTGGGTTCAGAAAATGTAAATAGTTTACCCATATTCATGTAATTTATAATTAAAAGAGTGGAGTTTAAGTCCAATCTGTGGCACTTGAAACCCTAAACTCACATCCACTCTTCATGTGTGCACCTGTCTCAGGACCTTGGTTTTGGGATTTCAGGAAGAATAAAAATTAAGGTAGTATATGAACTCTAGATTTGGATGGTCTGGGATGAAGCCATAGATCTCACTGTGTGGTGTGGAGACTTAAATAATTTCAGTTCAGTGACCTCATGTGTAAAGTGGGAATAAAATCATTCATAGTGAGTATTAAGGAACTAAATAAAATGCACTCACAGTTCAGCACAACACCTTCTGTACAAGAAGCTCTCTGTCAGTTCATGTTATTAACTACCAGCAAGAACAAAATTTTTTTAAAAAATCTAGAAGCAACTTGATAACATGTTTTCCTCAGTCAATAGAAACAAAAGCTACAAAAATGAATGAAGTTCATCGCTGAAGGAATTCAGAACACATCCAAACCAACATTTGTAAAGGACACTCCTGAAAAATGATGGATTGACTTTAAATATCACTCAGTGTATTTTGCAAGATCCTGCCATTCTGAGTTTTCTCCCTGAAACCAGGGAAGTTCAACAGTTATGCTGATCAGATGGGAAAATGTTATAGTGTAACATAAAGGCAAACATAGATTAAAAACTAACCATTTTCATCATTCAGAGAAGCTTTTGTGGAGTTAATAGCAGCAAGCTCTAAAAGAAATGAGAACAAGTATTCCATTGTTTATATCTTTCTTTGACATTGTCTCTGTTGTGGCTATATGGGTAGATGGATGGTAGATGATAGATAGATAGATAGATAGATAGATGATGATAGATGATAGATAGATAGATAGATGTTAGTTGTAGAAATAAAAAATTAGGGTTGCTGGGATCCTCTGCAGCCCAACATAGACAAGAGGCCAGTGAAGCAGATCCACCTCCTCTGATCATTCTTGGCAAGATCCCATCAAAGCAGTACCACAAGCCTGGCAACACACAAACTGTCCAGACAAGGGCCAACAGCACTCCACAATGAGTCCTGCTCCAGGGAGAGGGGAAGACAACCACACACCACTCTGTGGCCCCAGCAGTAGGCTGGAGATAGGCAGCTGGTCTAACTGCTGGCCCCACACACCAACAAAAGCTTCTCAGAGGACAACATAAGGAAAGTGCCCTGCAGTTTGGTGCTACTTAATTTCTGGCAAACACCTCAACCAATTCAAGCCCAAGGCAGCCCCAGACCAACTCACTAACACTACAGGCACTGGACTCTGCCTACAACAGGTGGAGAGTCATTGCAGGCTGGGCTGAAGGCAAACACTTCCCAGCCACAACAAGAGGGTGCACACAACACACAGAAGAGACACCCCCGAAGCACCATTTTCTGGTGAAAAGGAGATATTGTATTGCCAGGCACTACAGGACCTCTTCTTCATAAAGTCACTACTTCAGTGTGGGAGACATAGCTGACTTACCTAACACATAGAAACATACACAGCACTAGGCAAAGTGGGGAGACAGAGGAATATGTCTCAAATGAAAGAGTAGAGCAAAATCATAACAATAGACCTAAAAAAAAAAGAAAGGAAATAAGTTAACATGTCTGATAGTGAGTTAAAGTAATTCTTATGAAGATATTTGCCATGAGACCCTCCACAAAGAGATAGGAGACCTAAAAAAGAACCAGTTAGAGATAATGGACTTTCATTAAATGAAAATAAAAGTCCACTGAAATACATAGCAAATAAGTGAAAGTAGAAGAGATCAGCAACCTGGAGGACGGAGTAAAGGAAAGTAATCAAGCTGAGCAGATGAGAGAAGAAAAGTATACAAATGAGAATAGATCCAAGGAACTCAGTGACACTGTCAAGCATTACAGTTGTATGATACAGATCCCAGAAGGAGAAGAGTGAGAAAAGGGGACCAAAGATTTATTTGAAGACATAATAGCTGAGAATTTCCTGAATCTGGAGAGGGAAAGAGAAATCCAGATCCAGGAGGTACAAAGATCCCCCAACAAAACCAACCCAAAGAGGTCTGTACCAAAACACAAAGTAAATAAGATGGCCAAAAGTAGTGATAAAGAGAAAATTTTAAAAGAAGCAAGAGAGATGAAAGCATTTACATACAAGGGAACCCCCTTAGGCTATTGTGGGTTTTTCAGCAGAAACTTTACAGGCCAGAAGAAGGTGGCAAGATACATTCAAAGTGCTAAAAGGAAAATACCTATAGCCAACAATACACTATCCAGCAAGACTTTCATTCAGAATAGAAGGAGAGATAGAGTTTCCCAGAAAACATAAGTTAAATGCAAAACCAGCCACATCCCCATCACACATAATGCCATCAGCCTATGAGTCCCATCCACAATCCAGCCAACCTCCTGCCTGAGTTAGTACACATGGCCTGCCACCTGCTCAATGCCAAGTGAACATACCTTCACCTCAGATTGACAAGGGCCCAAAGTGACACTCTTCCACCTAAATTCCAGCCCTGTGCTCAAGTTTGTGCACAAGAGTGGGCATAATTATAACAGCAGAATGAAGAAACCCAAATAATGACATTAATTCTGTGCAATACATAGTAGATAAAAAGAGATTGCTAGGCTGAAAATACCTCCAACAAGCATATCAAAGAATAATACATACAGCATGATTCTGGCTAGTAAAAGAAATGAAACCAGGAAAAATAAAATAAGACTAGAAAAATAAAACAAGATGAAATCAGAGAGGGAGACAAACCATAAGAGACTCTTAATCATAGGAAACAAACTGAAGGTTGCTGGAGAGGAGGGGAGTGAGAGGATCAGGTAGCTGGGTGATGGGCATTAAGGAGAGCACTGGATGGAATGAGCATCGGGTGTTATATACAACTAATGAATCACTGAACTCTACCTCTAAAACCAATAATATACTATATGATAATTAATTGAATTTAAATTAAAAAATGAACTCCCCCACACAAAAAAATTAGGACTGTCTGTATAATCTTACTCTGGTTAGTTTTAGGAAAGGATATAAATAAATACAATAAATATAGGAATAAATTCATCCATGTTATGTCTTCAACAGCAAACATTTTCACTGAAATAATTTCATCTCCTCTTCATCACAGTTTAGGTGAAAGCAAAGGTAAATGTTTAACTCTACTTTGATCATTGGACTAGATAAGAATATGTGAAATAACAAAAATTCAACTGAGTAAATTTTAAAAATCTAATTGGCTGTATATATCAAACTATTCATGAATTGAGCATCATCCTATCAGCAAGTAGAGGGAAACTCCATAAACCTACAGGAGAGGTTTTTCAAAATAGTAGTGAAAAAGAAATTATCAGCAAGGAATCCATTTCTTTAGGCAAGGCCATTCTCCTCAGGGGAATAGATGGGGCCAATGAGTAAACATCCTAGTGCTGACCAAGAAATTCCCATGTCAACTGGTTAAAGGCTGCAATTCTAGGTGTTGAAACTGCAGCTGGGTAGGAATGAAGACTCTAATGACTTGTGGCCTTAAGCTAAGTGAGTGCATTTTGAGCGTGGTTTTCCTATTTAACAACACTGCCTTTTGATCATCTCTCAGCTTAACTGAGAGATGGGTACTAGGCTGAATGTATTAACACCACTCTCAGCAACTTCTCTGAAGTTCTCACAGTATTTGATGTTCTCCTGGGTGATATTCACAGGTCTTGACATTTTTGCTTAACCCTTGTGATAGTCACAGGTTACCACTTCAGCTTTACCATTTTTAAGTTAGTCATTCTCTTCATTCTTTTTGATGTTCCAGTCTTAGAAAGATCATTTGCTTGGAGATTACTGGCTTTGAATTTGCATGTCAAGCTTCTGAGAGAACATAAACCACCAGGCAGATTATTTTGATGTCTGTAAACAGGATAATTCCCCCCATGTTTGAAGAGCTATTTGATGCCATTGGCCCCAAGGCTCAAAGCAATTAAAATCAAATAAGTGAGAAAGCCCCTGCTGAAGGAATCACTCTGTTAAGCCAAATGGCTCGCAACATGAACTGATATTATTGGTCTTTAACTTCCCCAATAATGTTCACCTGAGTATAGCATGTAGCGTTGCCTATAGCACAGATCTAGCCTTGCTCAGCTAAATCATAATCAAGGGGTATCTTGCTTTTAAGAACTTTGTTTTGTCCAGAGTCTATGGACTTTTTCTGGGTACCCATTGCTTCAGGAGGGATTCTGCAACAATTTTTAAAATGGAGGAGAAGATCTTGATCATACCTCATTTCAATGATCCCTAACCATGGAAGTAGGTACCAGCCAAAGGAATGAATCCTGATGGCTTCTTGGTAGTCCTACTAACTCAGGCTATATCTTTAACGGAGTCAACCAATGAGATGTCTTATTTACCTTGAGAAAAATTAGAACCAGGGTTAGGTTTTCTGCTAGCCCAAAATAAAAATTTGCTCTAAAGTCCAGAGTTTAACCCCTTTAGCAATGACCTGGAGATACAGGCTATTGCCAGAGTAAAAGAAAAGAGGGAGAAAGGATTTCATATTTAGTTAAAGTATGAAATCTTGAACCCTTGTTCAGGTGAAAGCAATCTACTTGGATATCAGCTACTTCTCTTTCTCTCAATTTGATACAGAAACTCCAGGGTCTAGGCAGAACCAGGTATCAGATGGAGACTTCTGTAGCTGTGTGATGTGCACCTGAGGCTTAATACCTTTTTGACAGTAGGAGCACTAGGTAAGATCCCTCTTTTACTGGGATTCGAGGGGTGTCTTCCTCTGACAATGTGTGTAAAATACCTAATCACCAGGCTCCAACCTGTGACTGAGAGGACACTTTTAATTGTTTTCTAAGAAGGTTTCTGTAACCTGGTGATAACAGGCTTGAACATCAAACATTAGAGACTTATATTAGCTGGTCAGACTAGCAGGTGATACAAAGGATCAACAGAAGGTTGTAAAGAGACAATTCCAGAAAATTTGCAAGGTTTTCCTAAAGATTCCTAAGATTTTCCCTGTGAAATAGGGGCCTTGATCACTGGAGATCACAGAAGGTGTGCCCCAAGGAGGAACCCATTTTTAACCATGTCTTTGCCACAATGAGAGCATCAGCCCCTTGACAAGGAAAGGCTTAAACCCATTCAGAAAATACACAGACAATGACAAGGGCATATTAACAACACATACTGACAGTGGAATGAAGTCCAACTGCAGGTGTTCAGAGAGTCCAGAGGGAGGAGGCATGAAGCCTCCCAAGAGTAAACAGTTGTTCTGGGATTATAGACCTGATAAATTAGACATTGATGGTAAACTGTTTCATACTTTTGAGGTCTCCAATTGATGGTTACCATGCCATTTCCCCAAGATTCAAAAAGAAGCTTTTAAGATTTTGCAATTTTTTACTCACCTCCGTGGCTCTGTCAGTTAAGCAACTGCATTCAGCTAAGGTCCTGATCCCAAGGTGCTGGGTTGGAGCCCTGCATCAGGCTCTCTGCTCAGTAGGAAGTCTGCTTTTCTCTCTCCATCTCCCCCACTTGTTTTATCTCTCTCTGTCAAATAAATAAAACTTTTAAAAATAAAGATTTTGTAATTTTGCTATATATCTGTAATCTGGGACTATAGATCTTAGGTGGAAATAAACAGATGTGTCAGAAAAAATAAATAAAAATTTAAAAAAGAAAAATAAACAGGTTTATCAGAAAATGGTGAGCTACTCTCTGTAGAATTTACGGAACCCATTAGCTAAGATTTTATGTTTCTCAGAGGCAAACTAACACCTAACACTGTCTAGAATTGAGGATTTTCTGTTTTACAGGGTAGCTCCTTGTATGAAGTTTTCTTGAGGTTGATGGGTAACCTACTGCTGATCCAACCCATTTCCTGACCAACATGTGCTATCAGGGGAATGTTCTTGAGGTAGCAAATGCTCTTACAGCCTCTAAATGCTTGACTCATGCCCACCAATTTTTGTGGCTTTTTCCTCCTTCCTCTGGTAGCAGTAGCCTTTATCTACACTCAAGACTAACAATTATGTGCACACTAGTGTATGGACAGTAAGAGATGTTACTGAGTTCTGGCCATAGGAAGACTCTGCACCACCAACAATTCTGGAAACTTGCTGAGGTTCCCACCTGGGGAACTTGGTCTGAAAGGCTAGGGGCTTGGCCGTGGGCTGATCCTTCAGCCAGTTAAGTTGGACCCTGGGCAAATATACCAGCTCAATAGGGCTCCAGAGAAACATGCCAGCTTAACTTAACACTGGCATAGCACTCTGCCAGCCCAAACTGACCTGGCCTGTAAAGCAAAACCAATTAGTTTAGAAGTTTGAACACAAAGAGAATGGAGATTACAACCAAAAAAATCTCACCCACTGCCCTTGGAACAAGTGAGAAAGATCCTGAAATCAAAGGGCTCACAGTTACCACCTCTGTGTTTTGCTTTGTCTCTAAATGCCCCTGGGAGTCCAGTTCAGATTCCATCACTGCCATCAAATATGTTAAAGAACAAAAACTTGGGACACCTGGGTGGCTCAGTAGGTTAAGTCTCTGCCTTCAGCTCAGGTCATGATCTCAGGGTCCTCGGATCGAGCCCCATATCGGGCTCTCTGCTCAGTGGGGAGCCTGTTCCCCCTTCCCTCTGTCTGCCTCTCTGCCTACTTGTGATCTCTCTCTCTGTGTCAAATAAATAAATAAAATCTTTAAAGAAAAAAAAGAACAAAAATTCAACTACATAAATGTTAAAGATCTAATGGTGCTATTATTCAATCAGTCAATGAATCACACAGCATCCCATCTAGGAAGGAGATGAGAACTCAGAGAGGGAGAAGAAAAAAGAAAATTCTTAACAAAGAATTCATTGTTTTAGGTAAGGTCAGCCTCTGAGAGGAACGGAAGGGGTCATCAGGAAAACTCTTGGTACTGACCAGGAAATTCCCATGTTGGCTGGGTAAATGTTACTATTCTGGGTTAGGTATTAAGTCCTGGTTTAGTGACTTGCAACCTTAAGCTAAGTGTTGTCATTTTGGGTATGTGAGGTTTTTTGTTTTTATTTTTGTTTTTGTTTTTTCAATGCTCCAAGAAGACAAAGTTTTACTTCAGAAATTTCAACTTGTATATAGAAAACTCTTCACAGGTGTTATTATGTGCTTGTTCCCCACTGCTTAAAAGGTGCTTGTGAATCACAGAGAAAAGCACAAACTGATTCCTTCTTTATGGGCCTTCTGTGGCCTTGTTTTGTACTGTTAATGCTAGGACTTGACTGAGTCTAATGAATTACTGGGTCACAGTGGGGCCAGAGCACATTCTTCTGTCTGCTGACACTGTATGAATATGACCAGTGTCTACACCAATGGAGCTCCTTTGGGACACCATGCTCGAATCATGCCTAAATCATAGGTACCCTGAGTGATTAGGAAAAGTACATTTGCATTACTGTAGTGATCCTTCTTGGGAGAGTAGTTCATCCTGCATCCCTTCCAGGCCTGGCATTCATTAGGACTGCAATAATGTTTGCTGAGAAGTTTTACCAATGGTAAGAAATATATTCATTGTGTAGAATGTAAGAACTTTTAACATGTAAGCCTCATCAAATCTTTATTGCAGGGTGTCAGCTTCTGCTATGTCCTCAGCTTGCCTTCTGTTCCCTCATCAATACTAAAACCTCAGTAGCCAAATTACTATCTCTGGTTGAGCTGTGATTTGGCTCCATCAAATGAACATTTTGTCCCCTATAACTCATTGTTTATGGGTTACACTTTGAGTAGAGCAAGATTGAAGTGAGAAGGACTGTGATGCTGAGAAGTACATTCTTGAAAGATTGTTGTTATGCTCTTATTTCTTGATCAAGTAAAATCATCAAAAGCGGACACTGAACATTTCTTTTGTGTGAAGTTGCTACATGCTCTTATGTGTATTGTTTCATTTAATCCATGAAATGACTATAAAAAATATCACCATGACATTAATATTTATGATGATCAAACTGACATGAGAAAAGCTAAGTGAATTTGTCTTTCATTTTTTCTCTGTATGTTCCATAGGCCATGCTATTTTTTTAAGATTTATTATTTATTTTGGGAAAGAGAGAGAAAGAGAGAGAACGAGCACAGGGGAAAGAGGCAGATGGAAGAAAACTCAAGCAGACTCCATGCTAAGCATGGAGCCCAATGCCACACCTTGATCTCAAGAGCCTGATATCATGACCTAAGCTGAATAAGGAGCCACCCAGGTGCCCCCAAAGCCCAAACTATTTGAATTCTATTGGGAAATAGCATGACATTTATTAACATAAATGGAACAACATTAGAGAAAAATTTCTATTTGCTTGTTTTCATTAATACTTAACAGAAAATGGGGGGTCATCCCTTTGAAACAAAGAGTTCTGGGAGATTATATTCATGTTTATATGCACATACCTTTGTATATAGAAGGAAAAAGAATCCCTTGATCAATTTTTCTTCTATCACTCTCATGGTTGACGATACATTTGTGTTCTTCATCCATTGATGCTCCAGTCACAGTCAGCCAGCTGAATTTCATGTGTGTGTCATTAGTCTTCACAGTGTCTCCCTGCTGGGATTTCAGAATTGTTTTGTCATCCTTTTCTCCCCAATCTATCTTGATAACATTAGGGGGAAAATCCTCAAGAAAACAAAGATATGTTCCAGCCCTATGGAATTTTATTTCAGTAATTGAAGGAAGAAAAATTGTGGGCTTGGGAGAAATATCTTCATCAGGACTTTTATATGTTTAAGAAAGTGGAATAACAATTAAAACATAATTAGAGGGCACCTGAGTGGCTCAGTCAGTTAAGTGTCTTTGGACCCAGTCATGACCCCAGGGTCTTGGGATGGAGCTCCACATCAGGCTTTCTGCTCAAGGGGGAGGCTGCCTCCCCCGCTCTCTCTGTCTGCTGCTCTGGCTATTGGTGCTTTCTCTCCCTTTGTCAAATAAATAAATAAAACATTAAAAAAATAATTAGAGAAACACAAACATGGTGTGGTTACACCCAGAAATAATTAAAGGAAGGAAAGTTGCTATAGGATTTGTGCTTACTGTGGCTTTTCATCCACAGAGGGTTATGACATGCTTATTTTCTTAGTTTCTATGGGAAAAGAGATTCTAGAGGTGTGTAACTTGCCCAAAGTTACAGTTGTAAAGAGACTAGATCAAAATATGGAATATTTTAAAACAAAACACAGTCACTTCTTTGAATGGGAATCCATCAAGTTGATATTTTAGTTATAAATATGGATTCCATGACCATTTCTTTCTTTTTTTTTTTTTTAAGACAAGTCTTTTATTTGGTAGTATTTAATTTTAAATTAGTGAAGTGTATCCACCTTTTTAAAAAAAGATTATTTATTTATTTATTTGACAGAGAGAGATCACAAGTAGGCAGAGAGGCAGGCAGAGAGAGAGGAGGAAGCAGGCTCCCTGCCAAGCAGAGAGCCTGATGCAAGGCTCAATCCCAGGACCCCAGGGTCATGACCTGAGCCAAAGGCAGAGGCTTTAACTCACTGAGCTACCCAGCTGCCCCCCCATGCCCATTTCTAATACTGTAATTCTTCTCCTTGATTTTTGATTTTATAGAACAACTCCTCACATCTGAAGCACTTCAGGATTTTGAGTAGGGCAATGTTTAATGCTGCACCTCCAAATTATTTACAATGCCTGAAATTTAGAAACAAAATGACTATATTTCCAAAACTTGTATTTAAAAAATTTTTGATTATTTTCAGAAATGTTCTTAGAGTAACCTAATCAAGTAATGCAGGTTTCAGAATTTTGTTCTGCCTTAGGAAATATTCACTAAAAGTACAATCTATATTGGAATTTCATTTGAAGTCACCTTGGCTAAGAAGACACCATATTTTGACTCTTAGCATCTCTCTCCAAATATGAATCTGTCCTACAAGACTGCTGAACCTGTTGTAGTACCCCTCAGTTTTATTTCATTTTATCTGCTGAATAAAGTTCTATCTAATGGTGTCATGTTAACAGTCATGATCAGAATTTCTTGCAGATATAATGACAAATTATAATGAAACATCATGGTTCTCAAGGCATGTCCCTTGAAGCCTGGATTATTTCTTGGTTATACATGTATTATTAATTAATGATTTAAGTTACAAACAGTAGAACTCTTTCCAATTTGAGTTCCAACTGGAACTCAAATGCTTTAGTAATTTTCTCTTTCCACTAGTTTGGAATTAGAATAATAATTTCATGGACCATTTCCTAAGAAAAGAAGAGTTGGATTTCTCCCTTGAGAGGAAAGGAAAAAGAATTCTTCAGAATTTTTGCCTATGCATAAAAGCTCCTTATTTTTATACTAAATGAGTAAGCAAACAATGAGGCTTTTTTTTCATACCGTAAGTAGAAATTAGGTCATAATGTACTTGTTTTAATTTTGTACATCTTCTTTATAGTACAAATAGTATTTTACTGATTATAATAGTAAGACACTGTATATTTCCTCAACCATATACTTTGCTTTTAATTTTAAAAGCTCATTATATAAAGCAAAATTTATTTTTCAAAGTACACAGTATTTACATCATTTTTGCCTCAAGTCAATATAGTAAAGAATCTAGTTTTCACCTTAAAAAGTTTGGTTTTTATAGGAATACTTTTGATTCATTATAATAAAGCACTTGAAAATCAAATAATGAACTTGGAATAATCTGGATGATAAGACACTATGTTTACCTCCTGTCACTTTGCCTTACTTAGATTCCTGAAGTTTCATTCTTGTCAGGATAAGAAGGTATCTTGAACTTCCATAATTTTTTCAATGTGATAGCTAGCTGAGCATTAAATAGTATTCTTGATTATATATGGTTTGTGCTTATATTTTATGGAATTATGTTACATGTTTTTTCATTCAGTATTCCTTTTTCTAAAAATATCTTATTTATTTATTTTAGAGAGAGAGTAGGGGGAGAGCAACAGAACAAGAGGAGAGTAAGATTCCAGAGCAGACTCTATGCTCAGCCTGGAGCCCAACATTGAGCTCAGGACTCAATCCCACTACCCTGAGTTCATGACCAGATGCTTAATTGAAGAGCCACCCAAGTGCCCCTCAACATTCTTAACTAAACTTATTAAGAGTGTTTTTTTAATGGCCATAATCATTTTCATTCACTTATAAAATAGAAACCGGTTTATTCTTTTTTTCATTTTTATTTATTTTTTAAATTTCTTTTCAGTGTTCCGGAGTTCATTGTTTATATACCACACCCAGTGCTCCATGCAATATGTGCCCTCCATAATACCTACCACCAGGCTTACCCAACCTCCCACCCCTCCCCCCCCAAAACCCTCAGTTTGTTTCTCAGAATCCATAGTCTCGTGGTTCATCTCCCCCTCCAGTTTCCCCCAACTCACTTCTCTCCATCTCCCCATGTCCTCTGTGTTATTCCTTATGCCTCACAAATAAGTGAAACCATATGATAATTGACTCTCTCTGCTTGACTTATTTCACTAATGTAATCTCTTCCAGTCCTGTCCATGTTGATGCAAACGTGGGTATTCATCCTTTCTGATGGAGGCATAATATTCCATAGTATATAGAGATAGTTTCTTCTTTATCCATTCATCCGCTGAAGGGCATCTTGGTTCTTTTCACAGTTTGGAGACTGTGGTCATTGCTGCTGCTATGAACATTGGGGTACAGATGGCCCTTCTTTTCACTACATCTGTATCTTTGGGGTAAATACCCAGTAATGCAATCGCAGAGTCATAGAGTAGCTCTATATTTAATTTCTTAAGGAATCTCCACACTGTTTTCCAAAGTGGTTGCACCAACATGCATTCCCACCAACAGTGTAAGAGGAGAAACTGGTTTATAAAATAAATATTTTTATAATATATTTATATTATAAACATAATATAAATATTAAAATATATATTTATAAATATATAAAAATATAATATATTTATATTATAATATTCATAATCAGAAAAAAATTCAGGTAAATTGCCCGAGTTGTATATATTTGATGGATATAAAACAGTATGAATTCTATATAAATTAACCAAGTACAATGACATTTTCAATTAAGTATGGTATTTTGTATCTGCATATTAATATTGATTCAAAATTCCTCTATTTTTATTCTCATCATTTTTGTTACAAAAAAACTGAGGGTTTTGGAGGGGAAGGGGTGGGGAGTTAGGTGAACTGGTGATGGGTATTAATTTGGGCATGTATTGCATGGAGCACTGGATGTGGTGCATAAGTAATGAATCTTGGAAAACTGAAAAAATAAAATTAAATTTTAAAAATACTTAAAATTATTTCTTATATAAATATGAATTTCAAAGTTACGACATTTTTAACTATATTTAAAAGTAGTAACTGTATTTCTAAATGAATTCCTAAGTGTTTTCTAAATAAAATTTAAAATTTTAATTTTTTTTTCTACTAAATACCAGTATGAAGCCCAAACATTTTGGTGTCAGACATGGTATCATAAGATAAAGGACTAAGATTTAAGTAGATATAACAACTTACAAATACCAAAAAAATTAATATTTTATTTTGATTTCATTTTTGTGTCAAGTTAGGGAAAAGTCCATTAAACAAATACCTCTAAATTCAGGGGTTTTGTGTATCATTTTACAGTAAGGTAACTTTCCACTAGAGTGGTTAGAAGTAGAGCCAAATCTTCAGAAGAATTTCTGCTCTGTCAGTATGATTGGCTACAAATCACTCTCCATACTGGATACAATCATCCCTTTAGATTTGAAATGGGGCAACATCTATGCAGCACCTGTTATGTGTTAGACAATGTGCCAAGTACCTGATTTACGGTCTCTCATTTGATTTTCATATGCCTCCCTCATACATCCTGTTATCCCATCTTTTGGATTAGGAAACTGAGGCCAGAGAATAATCACCCAAGTTCACATAAGCAGTAAGTGCTGGAGTCAGATCTCGAGGTCAGCCTGAGTCCAAAGTGCAGGCTTTCTGCCAACTTCCTTTCACCACCAGAAAAGGCAATGTGTCAACTCACACAAATTATCTGTCATGATCAACTTTGTTCTTGGGACAAATGTTTTCAAGACAATTACACATGTAGTGCATGAACACTTCATGCAAGTCCACTAAGACACAAGGTCAGATGCTATTACAGTGTTTGCACAATGTTATCTATGCTGACCTTTACTGTAAAGATTAGTATAGAAATCTTTCCTAAGATAACCACATCTAGACATGCTATGAAAATGAGAAATCATAATTATCATTACCATTATTATTAGCAATTTGTTTGTGATGACTGTGTTCTCCAACATGACATTTTAATCTCATGAGACCAAACCTTCCCTTACTAATGGGAATGCAGTATTTGGGGATAACAATTGGACCTATGTAAATTATGCACCAAGATTTATTCCTTTGTTTGCATCTCTCTTTGCTCTACTAGGTCTGGAATTATCTGAACCATGGTCACTGAAAGTGTGTCTTTCACACACAATTATTAGGGAATCACTTGTCATATCTTATCTGATGCCTTTCCAGTGATAAGAAAATCAAAGTTAGTAAAATTAGTAAAGTAAAGAAGTTAGCAAAGCCTAGTAATAAGGGGTCACTTCATGGAACAGATTTACCTGTGCTGTCCAAAGCAAATGGCATTTTCCCCCACCAGCAGCACAGTCTATGAACATTCCAAGCTCTCATCAGAAAAATCTACCTCAAACTGATTTTCTTCTAGTTCATGTCTAAAGTTTAGCTTCAAACTTCTACAGTGGGCCTTCATGATGGAACAATGAAATCAGTGGCTGGTTGCCTTGACCTCCAAGCCTCTTATTGTCACATTAGAGTCCTAGACTCTCACCTGCCTGACCAAGTCTGCTGAAGGTCACTATCTGTGAATAACATTAAATATCATGGGGCCTATAATAAGGATGCAGTGGTAACATGAAGTGCATTTGTTAAAGACCATTTCTTCCATTTTATAAAATGTATATGGAAGGCAATGTGTACTCCTTCACTTCACATTGATCTTAAATGATTCAGTCATTGAAGTCCTTTTCTCATTTTATGGTGGGAAAAACATATTTCAAAATTTGGTGTGCTTCATTTTCTCAGTTAATAAAAAGTATGTACTCTAATACATTTTTCTCTTACCTTTGAAGATAAAATTGTACCCTATGCTTTGTGCTAGATAATCACAGGCCTTTCTTCTTCTGTTTTCATTTCCTTAGTTCTTTTATTCTATTTTTATTCCATTGCCTAACTCTTTTCATATTTTATCTTAGCGCTTTTCAAATAGATTTTGAAAATAGGGAGTATAAATAAATGAGATTATGCTGAGTGAAATAAGTGAAACAGAGAGATTCAATTATCATATGGTCTCACTTACTTGTGGAGCATAAGGAATAACATGGAGGACATTGGGAGAAGGAAAGGAGAAGGGAGTTGGGGGAAATTGGAGGAGGAGATGAACCGTGAGAGAATGTAGACTCTGAGAAACAAACTGAGGGTTTTGGAGAGGAGGTGGTGGGGAGTTGGGTGAGCCTGATATTAAGGAGGGCACATATTGTATGGAGCACTGGGTCTGATGCATAAACAATGAATCTTGGAACACTGAAAAAATAAAGTTAAAAAAAAAAAAACACCCCACAATAGCTTGGTCTAACTACTTTTAAAACTTCTAATAAAAAGTTAAATGTATATAAATAAACTTTTTCAAGACCTGAAAAATAAATAAATAAATACATAAATAAATAAGAAATAGTTTGTGCACTAGAGCTTTTTCTTTTTCAGCCCTAGAGCTTGATATTTAGGTGAGGTCTATATCAAAGGTGACATGAAAAATGGGAGAAGACATTTGCAAATCCTGCTCTGTGATATAGATGCAAAACATTTAGAATTCAAACAAGCTGAAATGCCAGAGCAGAAGATGAAGCTTTCACTCCAAAATTAAGCCTCATAAAACAGAGGTTGCCTTATGTTTTAGTTTGGGCAACCTCTCATTTTAAAAGATGGTCTTCCAATACTCTTCTTTGATTAAACAATGCACTTGGACAAGATATCAACCTGAAATAGACTCAATTAAAGTCAGTTTAGAGCTAGTATCAGTAAAAAATAAATACATAAATAAATAAGTTTAATATGGATTTGGTAAATATTACATGGCATTAAAGTCTCTATACTCTATGCTTACATTGTACATACACATAATAACAAAATAAATGAAAAAAAAAGGCTTTTATTTTTTAAGTGGATAAATGTGTCTTCCAATAAAATATCCAAAGACATCATCATTAAGGTATCCCCAGAAACTCAGACCCTAAGATGACTTTGAAAATTTGCTCCAATATATACATTTTAGATAGAGCTGAAGAATCTGAACAAAATTTTTAATGAAATGTGAGGTTAAAAAAAAAGTGGTATTTCTCATGCTATTTATAATAATATAATTTTTAATTTGTAGATATAATCTAATGAATGATATAATCTAATAATCTCACTCACACACATTGGAGAGTCTGATTTTACCTTTTCTCACTATGTTTTGGAAACCTGTAAATCTTTTCTCTTAAAAGATTTTCATGTATTGTACCAGTTCTTTTCCTAGATGCCAGTTCCTAGATGCCATTCCTAGATGTACCAGTTCTTTTCCTAGATCTCCTTTTCCAGGAGATGCGTTCCCTCTGTTTCTGCAACTTAGAGTTACTACTTCTATGATTTTACAGAGGAACAAAATAGAAATATTGTAT